TCCTCCTTCTCCTCCTTTTCTTTCTCTTTCTCTATCTATCTATCTATCTATTTATCTATCTTTCTATCTATCTATTTATTTATCCATCTTTCTCTTTCATTACTCACGTATATGTTGTAGAGAGATATATATACGAGAAATAACAAAAAATGATTGATTAATTTAAACAGGAAGAGGTTTTACCTTTAGCAATACTGGCCAAAGGACCACCCACGCTATAACCAGGCCGAAGATGACTCGAACGATGACCACTAGCAGCAACTGCTATAACAGGCGCAGCTTCAACATAATGAGAATTTGACTCGATCAAGCCTAACGCGGGTGCACCATGACCTGCGTATTCGAACTCATATCCATCGATCACTTCTTGATTGTGAATCTGCTTTTTAGCTTTGGCACAATGCGCAAGGGTCACGTAAGCCAGAAATACCAACAGAATCTTCATGTTGAAACGTTAAATTGTTGTTATGGCTAATAAATGTCTCTGTAAAAGTATAAATAAAATTAAAATTAATTTTTTTAGAAAAAAATATAATGTATTGCATAATTGTAATTTTATTTATGCCAAGAGAATATGAGAATTATTATGTTTTAAGACTATTTTAGCTGTCATAATATCTTAAAACTATCTCAAAGGTATTTTTTAAATAAGTATATTGTTTGGGACTTATATTGCATTTGCGACAGTTTTCGCCTGATGTTCTCTCGCTCGTCATACGTACACTCGCTTATTCGAAAAATTACTTGACTCTATTTAAAAAAGTTAACAAATTTTATTACAATAGAGAAAACATAAATACAAACAAGCAAACAAAAATTAATAAAATTGAACGCAAGCTTTGACAACTTTGCGCTATTCTCTCTTGTTATTTTTCATGACAATTCGTTGGCAGAAAGTGATTTTTCTTATATATATACGGAGGATACGGACTTCTGCTCAGTTGTAATAATAATATTTAACGTTAAGGTCTTTTAAATTAAGCTTCTATAACGCAAAGATATGAGTATTCATTTCATATGTTTAATATGTAAATATTACTGATATTATATCATTCTATTGTATAAAATTGTTTTTATGTTATGATTGTGAAAAGTAAAAGTAGAACTCGCATTTTATTTCTACCGCAAAAATATGAACATGCCAGATAATACTCGGATTATACTCTTTCCTCATAGATTCGTCGAAAGTATTTCTTGATATTATATATTTTATCACATTGACTACGCAAGGGTGAACGTCGATCGACCGCGATACTCGAAATCAAGTCACGTTTCAATTACGTAAAACATTATCGTCTATACAATCAGAAGTAACGATAGATCAGATCTTTAGTCTTTGAGACCAGTCATGCAGTCACACGATTACATGTATACGCAAAATAAATTTTGTATAAATTTTGCACAAGTATCGGCACACCACCTACACACACACACACACACACACACACACACACACACACACACACACACACGCGCGCGCGCGCGCGC